CAGAACTGTATAAATTGAAACTATGTCGATGCTTTCTTCGTTCAACATATTATTTGAAGAGAATTTTTGCTGGAGCACATTATAAGCACATTTCAGTTAAAACTTTTTCTTTATATTCGGTTTGATGTTAAAATGACATTTTACTTTGAGGATGGGGGAAATAATTTAATCAAAATATGTTGTCATCAGAAACAACTCTACTTGGTCAATCTTTTCAGAAAGTTGCAAAAAGTATAAACATGTTGGTGCCGTCATAAGTTCTTTCCTATCTAAGAAATATAATTTTTTCTCCACTTAAACGTCTCTTCTCGCAATTTATCTCAGAAGACGATTGCACTATATTTATTTTTTACGAATCTTTCACATACACTAACTAATTCACACAAATATTCAAGAAATCAATCAATAATGTCAATACATGACATTTACTTCAAAGTTTGTTTATATCATTTTGTACCGGTATACCTGTGTACCATCATTTATTTTACCGGTATTTGCCTCAACTAGCTTCATCTGCCTTGCACACATCAGCGCGATTGACCTCTCTTTCTAGAGCCAGTCCATAGTTTACTATGTCTATGGGTTTTACCCATTCTGCTAGGGGAAAATTAAAATTCCCGAAACCCTGTCGGTGACAATTGGCAATACTGTTTATATTATTGTGCCAACCTAAAATGTTAAATGTGTTTACGTTTACAATATTTTATTAATTATATGAAAATTGTTTATTTTATTTCATAGTAAAATGTTGCACGAGGATTCAAATGGCGAATCTTCTTTTGAAATTATTGACAAGAAAAATCATTTAACCACTAATACTGAAAAAACGGGTAATACATATGTTAATTGTTAAATTCAAACTGAATATAGGTCACAAGATTTATTTTCCTATATTTAAAATAATAATAATAATTTATCTATTTCAGATTCATTAAGCACTTTAAGCAGTGTCTCCTCGGCATATTCAATACCTTCACCCAGTCTTGTGAATCAACCAAGTGGAAACTTACTATCTAATATTGGTCCACCATCGTCAATTCCAGATTTTACATTGTGGTCATCACCAACTCCAACAGCAGTTACCTCCAGTATTGTACCACCCGTTACTACCCAGACATTGCCCACACAACCTCACTCTGAATTAGTAATGTCACCACCACCACCCAGTTCTAGTATAAATACTTTACCCTTAGGTGTAGAACAATTTCCAAGCACAAAATTCAGGTAAACCAATTGATTTTAATTTTCTTCTCATTTTTTGAAATACTTATTGAATTTTTAGTGCTGCTATTCCACCCAGCAAGGGTATCCCGCATGGTACCACAGAACAACCGAGAATTACCCAAAATGAAAGTACATCAGGAGGATTTATGGGGCTCTTTAAAGAAGCATTTTCGAGTGGTGGAGTCTTATCTAAGGTTGCAGAAAAAGCTAAAAGCTCTGTCGATTCAATAATCACTACACTGGATCCACAAATGAGTGAATATATATGTAAGTAATTAAATTAATAGCTCTTTTTACTATTAGTGATCAGTTTTTGGTAATCAAAAATTATTAATCCCTTTGTGCTTCCAACTGATTTAGTTTTACTCGTATAGATTCAGGAGGTGATACAGAAATTACAGTAACATCAGAAGTTGACGATGAAGTCGGTGCATTAAGAGAAGCATTTCATTGTGTCTTTGGAAAAGCTTGGGTGAAGTAAATAGTCTGTTTACTATATACAATAAAACTGTTAATTTTATCAAATCTTTTAAGTGGAATCAAATTGAATCTGCCCCCAAAAAAATCCCTACCTGTTGGGTTTGAAGTAGGTATCAAAGATGCCGAAGAGAAGATCACTTACTCCTGGAAGTATCGAAAGACTCCTACGATAGCTGTAGAAGATATCTTGTTCCAACAAGGAGACAAGTAAGAATTGATACTTTACTACATAAATCCAGTTAAATATTAATATATTTCTAGGTGGTACGGCTTGAGTTTATTGATTCTTAAGGACAACGAAAAACAGATTAATATACAAACTTTTAGTCAAGCCACGCCTATTCCAGTTAATGAAATTCTGAAGGAAATTAATGCGAGCAGACCAGATTTAGCTTCTTTGACAACTGAAGAGAAATTATCAACTTACCTGCAGGTATGACAGAGTTAGAGATTTGGCCAATAATATTAGATTAAGTTTTTGTCCATTTATTTTTATAAACGAACTCACATAATTTTATTAAACTTTGTTTTCTTTTAACTGCACGAATTGAACAAGATGTTTTTTTTATTGGGGTGGTTTCATCTTTTCCTGGTCACTAAAGGATATTAAATTTGATAGTAGTAAAACCCTAAAACTACAAATTAAAAGAATATCATGCCTATTTCCAGCCACATTTTAAATATTATTCTATCTGCTAAAATGTTAATTTATGATACTTGTTTATATATTTATGGTGGTACCTACAACAGATCTTGTGGTGAATCACATTTTTGATACAAAAACAGAAACAACTAATCTTCAAAATCGTGTATGATGCTCACAAGTGTTTTGGCCTTTTCCAATATTTGCAAGCTGGATATGATATGATTTTCTGTTATGTGTGTGCTGTTTTTAATAATAAATATTGGTTGATTAAAAAAAATCGACTATTTTTTTTCAAAATCCCTTCTGAAATAGATTCAGGAAGGCGAGAAGAGATGCCTGTAAAAATCGGAACTCTTAATATTAATATTCAGACGGCTCGCATCGCGATTTTCTATTTTCCATTTAAATAACGGGAAAAATTATTTTTCAATTTCAGAATTTTATATCTTAAAACCAATAGACGGATTTAAATGACCGAAACGTATTCTTGTAGGGAATTGAATGTTCTACAAAAAATGTCCCTTATCATTTTTTGATAAACCTACTCGTACAAAAGTTAAATTAATGAAATAATTACACTTTTTTCTCCAGTTTCATGTAAAAATGATTAAAGTTATCATGAAATATTATATAAAAAAGGCATGTAAAAGTCAAAATTGATATGTTTATCAAGTCTTTCAAATTAATATGACTGAAAAACCCACCATTTCTGGGAAGAATCAATTAAATCCTTTTTATTGTATTAAATAGTATTTAAAAAATTTTTAAATTATTTCTTTACTAATGATAAATCACTTTTCGGTTGTGATAGTGGAAAATTTTGTAATTCCATCATTAGCAAAGAAATAATTTAAAAAAATACTATTTAATACAATAAAAAGGATACGTTTCGGTCATTTAAATCCGTCTATTGGTTTTTATATAAAATTCTGAAATTGAAAAATAATTTTTCCCATGTTATTTAAATGGAAAATAGAAAATCGCCATGCGCGACCTTTAAATATTAATATTAAGAGTTCCAATTTTTACAGGCATCTCTTCTCACCTCCCTGAATCTATCAGATTTTGAAAAAAAAAAATAGTCGATTTTTCTTTAATCAGCCCAAATTGTATCCCATTATCCAATTTTCGGCAACCAAAGCAAGTGGTTGTCAGTCATTTTCAGTTTATATTTGCATGGCTAAAAAAACTTTTGAATGAGCCAGTTTTCATCGACTTGCTTTTTATTCACTCTCTGGTTGTCAACGAAAGTATTGAAATAATTCTGGCCATCTCCAGTGTATAAAATTTTTGATGCCCCGAGATGTTAACCTTAATATCCTTACATTTTATATTTTTTTAATTATAAGATAATTTTTGGAGAAAAAAAAATCTGACATTTAAATGTTTATTTTTGTAAACATAAACGTGTTCAAAATCAATATGATTGCGAGCGAGACCTTTTTTTTAGAGGCCTCCATAGAGTTATAAAAGTTATAAAAAATTTTGACATCAAAAGAAATTTGGGCAGACAAAATTTATAGAAAATAGTGTTTTAGTATGTCATATCCGATTTCACCTAAAGGGTAACACCACTGTAAAATGCTAAAATAAAGCGACTTTTTGTGATTTTTTTTAATGGTTATTAACCATGTCTTTAAGTGTCCAAAAAAAAAATATATATATATATATATTTTTGGCTTTATATATATATATATATTCAAAAATAGTACAAAATGGCGCTGCTGGAGCCTTTCTCGCGAGGCATGTTGAATTTAAGGCACTAACTAAAAAACTAAAAATATGCTTTGGTGTAATTAAAAAATATTTTTAGAAGTAATTTGAAATACCCCTGTACTTTTAAAGTAAAAAAAATGTTTTCTTAACATCATGTATTAATCCGCTTTAAAAACTTAAATTTTGAAATAAATACAAATTTTCCAGACAAAACCAGATTGGCAGGCAAGCATATCTGGAGTTGCAAGAAAAGAGGTTATTTTGCTAGCAGGGAAGACCCTTGTGAGGATATTCAAAAATCAGTTGACCTCACTTAAATAAGGTTGTATCTTCTTTAGGTATAGTATAAACAAAAACTGGGTTCTTAAAATAATGAGAAATCTATTACCTATAAGTCAGATTGAAACTTATTTTATTAAAGCATGTAATATGTAAGCATGTACAGCATGACCAAATGTATACATTTGGCCATTTATAAATGAATTGTTGCAAGATTCAAAAAGGAAAAATTCATATTAAATTAATACATTATACCATGCATCATATTTTAAGTTTAATTTTAATAAGACAAATATTTTTTTACAATTCATACCAATGCGAACCCAGGTAATTTCCAGTTATTTTTAATTTTTCCACAAACAGTACTTTTTGTACTTAATTATGTATATTAAAGCTTTTTAAATTCATTTATAAGTATCCGAAATTTTTATGAAACATTTTTTTTTATGTTATGTTTTTATTTGAAAACCGAGAGGCTCAAACATTGTATTTTTTTTTGTCATGAACAGCCTCAAGGTATGAACGAATAATATTAGCCTAATTAGTTAATAGGAATAGGAATCAATGCAGTAAACACAAAAAAAGGATATGAAAATTGACAGAAAATTAAGGTTTAAAATGTAGTACAATGTAGTTAATACTTCATTTTCCAATAAACAAGAAGTGTACTTCAGATGCACTTCTGAAACACTAATTTTAATTTTGGTGATTAATTAGTTACTCCTGAAATGCTATTTTTTTATTTGCTTTTTTCTTCAAGCATTAATGTACCGTTGCACACTGCAGAAGAATAGGTTTGTTATTTAATTTTAGCTTCAAAAGCTGTTCCTTTCCAGTTGGAAAGTTACTAATATTAGTTGTTAAATTTATATGCAACGTTAATTAGAGAAGTGAATTTCAGGGGGTGAATTGCCCCATATTGATGTAAAGAGAAATGTTGTAAAAATGTTGCAGGATTATGAAGTTTTACGTTTTCAAATACTTGTTCACAATTTACAATTTTTAAGTTAATATGAAAATAAAGATTTCAGTTATTTTGCAGATTCCGATTATTTGAAATTAACTAAACACCAAATTCTTGAAGTCATGTAGGACAAGATGGATGCAAGTGCCTTATTCATTTTATTAAATATACCTTTAATATATATATATAAAAAAAGTGGTAATTACGAATTTAATTTAGACCTGAAAATAAACTAATTATTTCAAATATGAATGAGGCACTTAATCATAGACATTTAAATCCAAAATTATTAAAGTGCCTCCTATTATGTATAACATAGATCCTGCTCATTTTTAGATTGATAAAAAATCTCACTATTACTAATATTTGATATTGTAACTATATTATGCCATATTCTTTAAGATAATGTATATACATATACTATAAACTAATAAATATAAAATAAATTTGATAGTATTTTTCTTGACCATACACAGAAATTTAGTTTTACATCTGTCTATATAAATAAAAAATAATGCTGTTCATTGGTATAAGTATAAGCGCCTCACTTGACAACGCCTCAACCCATGGTTAACCTCTTTTTTTTTAATGTTTATAATAATCTGAATATGGTTTTAAGGAAAGAAAAACGAAAAATTGCGCGGAAAATTCGGGAAGTGCTTTTTCTATGGAATTTTCACAAAACGATCACAAATTTATTGAAATTTGCACAAAACGTCTGTCGGGTTAACTAGTTTTAAATAAAAGATATTTAAATTAAGTATCCATAACTCTAATGCAGAAGTGCTAACCTAAATCTGTTTCTTGGGTGTTCAGCCAAACTAGTAAGCAATTACTGTGTGGTGATAATTATGAAAGAATGAAAAACATTTAGTTGGAAGAGATTCCTATTGTAACGACACTTTTACACAGCCGCAATTGTTATTAGGTGGTGTTGGATTTAAGTGCTGATTGCCCTGTATATCCTGTCTTCCAGTTTATTTCAGTTATAAAAACTCTAGCAGAAATGTTCTGATAAGCCGGCCTACATACAGGGTGAGTTCTTTTCAATGTTTAGTGTAGGATTCTGGGAAAGTAGCAGAGATACAAAAAAGTTTAAATGAGGAAAGATGTTCAGTTTTATGATCCTTATTAAATGTTACTTCTATTTTTTGAAAAATCATCATGACTGACTCGATATTTGGAAAAATTCGGATTCAGTTAATTCCTTCAGATGCATGTATAGCTCCGTTGCCATTTATTTTATAAAAAAAATTTACAAAGTTTCAGGTGTTTGCAGTGTTATTAAGACGGTGTGATCAAATTGTTCATGTGCACTTTCAAGTTATAACATAAACTTCAAGATTTTTAAATGTAAACCTTAGCTTTGAGCTAGAAAAAAATGTCTTTTTTTTATGCTTATGCCAACGATATATTTGGTATGGTTATTTTGAAAAATGAGAGAACTGCAGCCATTTTCAACTATTGTAATTAAATTTTTTTTTGTTAAATATGTAGCAACATGCATCTGAAGGAATTGGCCAAATTCGGATTTTTCCAAATATCTAGTCAGCCATGAAGCTTTTTCAAAAAATAAAAGTAACATTTAATAAGGATCATAAAACTGCATATCTTTCCTCACTTAAGCTTTTTTATATCTCTGCTACTTTCCCAGATGCCTACACTAAACATCGAAAAAAACTCACTCTGTATATTGAGAAATCCCCGAAACTTGTCATTCATATTTGTTCAGCAGAAATATACAAGCTGTCAGAAGTAGCACCAGTGTTTTATTTACTTCATGCTATATCAAGTTTTATTAAAACAATCTTTTAAATAGTCCATAATGCAAAAATTAAATATTTATTTTGATTTATTCCTTTTGGGGAATAACAATAGTTATTTTGGTATTTTACAAGTCAAAAAATATCAAATCAAAATGATACACATATTACTAAAAATGAAACAACGCAAACCTATAAAGGAAATGTATTTAAAAATTGATATGTAGTCAATTTTTTACTGCACCATTTTATATTTACTTTTTTTTCATTGATATTTTGAATGTATTTCAAATTTAATAATCAGTTACTGCCTATTTCAGCAGACTAATATACAGAATAGTTTAACGTAGAACTTAAAAACAACTATTACGTCAAATAACATTCAATTTACTTTGTTAAAATCTATTTTTTTAATCAAATTATGAAAATTAGCATCCAATTTCATATTCAAAATCTGATTTTACCACCGGTTTCTGCATTCCCCCAAATTTGTACAAATTTTAAAATTTAAACATAAATCACAAATGATTAGGGATTTTCATATTTATGAAATAAGTGTGAATGCAAAATTACAGAAAAAATGTGAAATATGAAAATAAACGCAAAACGATGCACTTCTGGTAAAATCTGAGGGCTTGAATAAATTATTAATCCTTCACATGAATCTAATAAAACAAACGAGGCATTCCAACTACTTTGTCCCTCTATAGCTATTGCCACAGTAGCTCGGGAAAGATTTCCCACAAGATATTTTTGATGGATAGTCACTTTCATTGTCACAGCTGCAGGAGATAAAAATAGATACTTCCCGATGTTCTTCAGGTTTTATGGGCAACTAAATATATTCATTGTGCAAAAGCAGCAATTCAAAGTTTTTGGAGTCCTGTAGTGTTGATGCGGAGTGATTTTTCAGCACCTACATTGTCATCACAGACAGAAGGACCACACTGTTGGAAGAATATGTAGAAACAACAGCAATGTTGGCTTTCATCTGATAGTAACACAGGGTGTCCCGTTCATATTTAAAAAAAACTTGAGTGCAAGTTCCTCATGGAAAAATAATAGGGGTAGTTCATGTAGTTTTTTTCTTAGACACCATTTTAAATATAGTGTGTTGAAGTTTGACTGTTTCATGTGATATACGTAAGAAATTCAATGATAAAGTGCTCTTTCAATTTAATATTTTGTTAATGTATTGTGCTGATTTATATAAGCAAAAAAATGTAACTTAATTTTTCTCGGTAATGGTACATGCTATCGAAATTCACCAAGTAGATCTTTTTTTTTCCAGTATGCTTTAGAGTTTAGAAATGTAATAATTTTTTTCGATTGTACCCCAATTATCTGTATCAGCGACACTGCTTTTCAGAAACTGTTTGCACATTATTATTAACACACAGTTGATGTTTACTCCTGCACAAATTTTGACATTTTTATCTAGCAGATTTAAAGAAAATTAAGGAAAACCATTTGGAAAGTAACAAATTCAACACACTGTATTCAAAAACAGGACATCTAAGAAAAAAGCGTTGAGGAAATTGCACAAAATTTTTTTTAAACATGTACGGGACACCCTGTATATTATACTCAAGGTAAATTTAAAAATATTTTTCAGTGAAAATTTATAAACGCGAAATTTTAGATATTTAATTTTGCGAAATTTAATTGTTTTCTTTTGAAAAAATTACGTATCCCTATAAATGATCTTATTAAAAAATAAAATCAGTTATCCATTGAATACAATAACCATTTTAGGAAATTAGGAATTTTAGGAGTAAAAAAAAACAGTACAATATTAAATACTTTATTTATCATACCTGCTAAATAAAAATTAAATAATTTCCATTCTCAAATATATTACAAAAAATATTTCACAAACATACTCACTTACTCTTCCGTTTCTTCTTTTCCTCTCGGATTTATTAATCCCTTTACTTCATAACCAATTTATTTCATGTCCTTTTTTCCATTCTGAAAAATGAAAAGTAATTAGCAAAATGACAGGTCAAAGGCGATTTTATATAAATAGAAAGATCAGTCAGTTGGCCGTTCTTCTGTCTTCAATAAGAGGGTCAGAACAGGTCTGTGATAGAACAATCATCATAAAAATACTGAAAATAGTTAAAATTGACTAAAATCCATTCAAACTCACCTGATTAGGGGTTTCAAGTCATAAAGTCTTCTTATGAACTGAAAAAAAAAAATCCAGTTTAACTCCTATAATGAAACGTAGGCAAGATATTTACGAAAAATAAATATCAGACCTGTTGAGCTTATATTTTTTACAACCATCACAGCTGTTCTGGTGTAATTAATATCATCATGATGTGTCTAAAAAGTTATCACAAATTTAGGGGCCGATAAAACAAAAGATCTTTTCTTATGGACCATAGGCCCATCGTTTCTGTTTTTAATATAGTTAAAATCGGACTTTTCTAAATTAAAATATTAGGTATATCTTTTTCAAAAAACAACATAATGCTTTAAATATGATACAGGAAAGTTTTCAAGGATGTTAAAGACATCTGTGTTAAAGTTTCTGCTAGAAATCACCGAATACGACCATACTCAATTAAATTTTATGACAACTTCCTCGAGTTTCGGTTTTCTCAGTGTATATTGTATATTAGAATGTAAAACGGTACTCTTGCTGAAATTGCTGAGATATTAAAAACTGACCTTCACAAGATAGTAAATTTCAGTGTATTATGTTTTCATGAAGACATAACTAAAATTTGATTTAAAAAAAATGACCTGTGACGCCCTGTATCTCAAAAACAAAATAAAATAGACCCGTAGTCCACATAAAATCTTATTTTTCTGTTCTAAATTTGTGGCATCTTTTTTCCAAAACAACCTGTATAATAAATCCAAGGTACTTTTTGTAAAAACAGTTTTAGTATAAAAATGTAAAATGAATTTTTTTTAAAATTGAAATAATTGACATTTAAGCCTTACCTTTTTTGAAGCTGTAAAGATTTGCCCGATTTCATCACCATTCAAGTCGAGGCAGAGGTATCTGGAAACATTCAATTTAAAGTAATTGTTCTTTAACCTTTAATAATTAAAAAATTAGTACAATAATATCAGATGGCCGTTCTTTTATGTCTTCAAAATGAGGGTCAGAACAGGTCTGTGATAGAACAATCATCATTGAATATAAATGTTTGAATGTAATGAATAATAAAATGTATTTTTGTGGGTAATAATTTATGTGTAACTATTATATAGCATTTCAAGAAAGTCACTAAAAATAATAACTTGAGTCAATAGAGTGCAAATATTGATAGACTCGTGTTAAAACAATGAAGCTGATGAATGATTATTATTAAAAGACAAATAGGTCTGTTCCAACAAGAGTCAAGGATTGGTTCCGAACCGTCAGAAATGTGCATCCAACTAATTCTTGCGATATATTAACTGAAAACACATTTAGAACTTAGCTGGCCAAACATTTCGAATGGTTCGGAACCAATCCGACTCTTGTTGGAACAGACCTAATGAAAACAGTGGCTGCTCTTGACTTCCACACCAGGGAGGGCGGAAATATTTAGGTAGGTACAAAATATTGAAAAAAGTATATCAAATATAATTGAGCAGTTTTATTTTAAGTGCTATTGCAATATAGGGAAAAATGTGTTCAACATTATTTTTTATAGTGAAAGTTCATCCTACTTCTGTGCAAAATAAACTTTTCAATTATTTTTTCATAGTCTGGTATTTCTCGCAGCATTGATTTTTCAATAGATAGAAAGCATTGCAAGTGTTGTTAGTCTGTCTTTAGAATCTAATTTAAACTCATACTCATGAATGTTAAAAAAAAACAAGAAACAATATGTATGTAACAATATTTAATACTACACATAAACAAATTACGTTTAACAAGACAAGTAAGCGGTGATCAGCTATTATTTGATTGTGGGCAAACTAAACAGAACCCAAACTTCATAGTAAATATACACTACTCCCGCTCAGTCTTTCACTGCTGCGTGACGGTAACCATGACCACTGCTGTAAACATTTCAGATTTGGGAGTGAGCTACGAGAAGCCCACGTATTCAGTGTTTTTCAAATGAATTCAAGTCGAGTTCAGTTGACTGCACATTACAAATTTAACATTTGCTTTTTAATATTTCATGACTAATTTATTTAATGATCTAGATAAGATTGTAAACTAAATTAAATTCTAAATTAATTTTTTTTTTACTATGAAAATTCCTAGGAGGATGGCAGATGGCACCCCAGAGCCTCTCCACACCAACCGCCACTGAATGAAAGTTTAATTGCATCTTCAAATAAGAGTCAAGAATATTTTCCCTATTTCTATGCTCACTTTTTTTTCACAGGAATATACAACTTGAGCAATTTTAATTATTTCTTTCTCTGACCATTCAAATAGAACATTGTTTAAAACATACTGGGTATTATAAAAAAATAACTCACCTCGTAAGAATATTGTATACACCTGCCTAAGATAAGATGTTCCAATATTTTCTCCTGTAAAGCAAAAATTCTTTTTAGAAAACGAAATCGCTTACTTCAATATTTGTAATAAACAAATAATTTATCAGAATTAATTTCTAATCAGGGAACATCTTTAGGTGTCCTAAGTATTACTCATCATTACAAAGAATTTATAAAATTAAGTCAGATCGTTAGTTATTTATACATCAAAGGTGCAAGAGGGTGATGATGATTCAGCCCTAGGGAATTACTTATTTTCAACTTAGGTTTGTTTGTGGTTAATTTTGCTAGGATGCAAAACATATAAACATACACTAGAACCGTTTTAAGATTGCCATTACGTCACGAGTGTCCTAATATCAAAGACAGTCGTTGCGGACGTGAATTCATTATTAAACGTGCTAAAAAGAGATACAATGATGGTATAAATGTCTTCATAGTCCCAATCTATCACAGACAACCGTTCCAATATTTTGTGTATTAGAGTGAAGGAAAATAGAAAACATTTGTTGGCTATTAATTTTAGACTGTAGTTTGACTAGCGCATTTAAAACAAAACAGAACCGAGTCAGATTAAAAATTTGACAGTTGTTTTGATCTCGTCTCCATACTAACCTGTATACATTTTTTGAGCGTTGAAATATCGATTTTTTGACATATTTTCGTATCCAGTAATACCAGTATTAAAATTTGCGAGATATCCAGATTTGGGAATTGTCAGGATGACATTTCAATTATATGAAAACAGTGACTAATTTGATTAGGATTTTTCGTCTTAATTCATACGAATATTGCTCGTGACGCAATGGAAAAAATACAGCGGTTTTAGTTAACAGTTAAAGACTGACCAAGTACCACAACAAATTGTTATTTTGCATGAAAATGGCTATTTGACAAACGTTACTCTATAATACCATCCTTTTTTTTACACTTAGCTGCTATTTATATCAAGACTTAAAAATTTAATCGTGTCCTTTAGACAGGATCCATAGTTCAAACGTAATATACAATTCCCTGACTTTTCCAGGTTTTCCCAGACATAAAAAATTCCAATCCATTTTCACATACTAATTGGTGTTTATGCATTAAATTTTTTCTAGACTGGACTCCATAATCTTTTTTTAAACACAAACAAACCTCTTATAAAGGTTTCAAAACCACAAACAGTTTTCTCTTTCAAGAACCCAGGGCCGGCTTTTACAAAATTTCCGTCAATTTCTTCAACTTTCATGAATACTTTTAAAAATCAAAATTGAGTGCTAGTTTGTGCCTTTCTCTCGACATAGGAACTTTAACCCTAGGACATTTATAGACATGTTCATGTCTCGCAATTCATATCGATACTGTTAATAAATTGTGACTACATATAAATAAAAATATCTTACCTTGCTTGACATGGGAACGCACTCTTCGAAACTGCCTGTGATAAGATGTATTTCAGCCTCCTAAAGAAAAAATTACATTAAAACTGAAGGTAAATTATAATATAATATTCATGATAAATGATTGATTTATCAGAAAATATTTCCTAATCAGGGAGCATCTTTAGGTGTCCTAAGTATTACTCATCATTATAATTAGAAATTTGAAAAATTTTGCCGACGTGAATATTTCATAGATTCACATAAAATTTGTGTAGGAAAAAATTTTCAAAAGATGGTAAAATAACCAGGTGGGAATATTTTGTTTCTATTAAAAAAATTATTACTTACAATTTATAAAACTGATCATCTTCAAATTCTTTTCCTCTATTTCATCTTTAGATATCTGGAAAAGGAAGGTTAAAAAAATAATAAAAAAATTTACTACAAACAGTGAAAAATGTTAATTGGTTTAATATCAGCACCTAACCAATCTTTCACAAATATCAGACTGGGGCGGTAATAAAAATCATCATTTAGAAACAAAAATCATCTTTTTCGGTTCAGTTAAACAAGATTTCAAAATACAAAAATAATTTATGTTAAATATATCGACATACTTATAAAAATGAAACATAATTAAAAAAAAAACTAAAGAAAAATAAACAAATTTCATTGAAAGTAAACAGAAAATAAAATTAACATTTTTCAAGTTAAATTTAATATTGCAGTTAAATTCAAAGTTTAAAAGAGTGACAAGTACTTAAATAATCTAAATATAAAACTTACCTCGCGGAGTGAAGGCTAAGCCTAGAATCAGACACAGAGAGAATATCTGTAACAAATTTTAATTTATATTCACTGAAAACTTAATAAATATAAAATAATTCTAGTTAATTAAATTTCAGAATCCTTTTGGCAACAAACAGCGTAAATAATTAATAAATTTACTTCCATTTAAATTGACTCATCATAGAATCATAGTAAAATCGGAAACAAAAAAAGATAAATGTACTGTAAATTAGTTACGTTATTCACAACAATGCTCCATGTATTTTCAGGGCAACCCATCAAAAAGACAAATTACTATTTTGGTATTGTTCCATATTCGTTTTAATTTTTCTAAACTGAAGGTAAATTATATCATAGTATTCATGATAAATGATTGATTTATTAGAAAATATTTCCTAATCAGGGAACATCTTTAGGTGTCCTAAGTATTGCTCATCATTATAATTTTGCCCACGTGAAGATTTCATAGATTCACATAAAATTAATTTGTGTAGGAAAAAAGTCAAAAGATGGTAAAATAACCAGGATGTGCACTTACCGAAGTTTCTCCTTTCCTGAATTCGTAATCTCCAAAGGATCTGTAATAAATTACTGTTTTTAAAAAATCATTAATGAAAAATGAAATGTCTCTAATCTTCCTTTGGTTGGCATGGATAGAAACCAAGCCACCATACACAGAAAAGACGTTGCTGTTCCCACAACGAGCACACCGTTTTCTACTCTAAGATGCAGAAATGGCCGGCTTAATAGTGTGGGGTACTTGCACAATGTACAAAAAAAAATTCATTAATCAAAAATAAACAGAAAAAATTAGTGACATTTTCTATTCTTATTGTATAGTCTGTTACAAATAAAATACATTTAATTAGTTAAATAAAGAATTAAGAGCACTTGATAGTGCCAGCATTTAAAATTTTAATTTTCAGACTCTCACCTTTTGCTTTAAATTGAGAACATTTTAGAATTTTTTTTTATTACTCGAGAAATTTCATACATATCGTAGATCATGCAAGGAGACGTAAGCTATTTGAGTAATTTTTAAGGAAGCAATATAAAGAAATCAAAACAAGCAAATTTTTTTTTTGTGGCACATATGCTAATTATACCAACATAGGTGAATATACCAGGTGTCCAAAACCATCCATCCACCCCTTTCAAAATCTAGAATATTCAGCAAAATGCAATATTTAGTCGCTAATGGTAAATGGACCTTCCCCAATAAATTGGATGTGTTATAAATCCTGGCTCCGATGGCAAATAACCTATTCGGACTAGAAATCAGTTTTCTCAAATAATATAGTATATTTTCTATTGTAGATTTTGATTCTACACCATTTACACATCATCTATTAGGGATCCGATTGAACATAGAAAAATATCAGGTGTTTTATTCAAGAATTCCTTTAAGCCAGTTTAAATGGTATGCTTGTTCCGTTGAAAAAAGGAATTTTCGATCAGATTTACAGGGTTCATAGTTCAAAAGTAATATAGAATTCCCCGACTTTTCCAGGTTTTCCCCGACTTATAAAAATACAAGTCACTTGTAGTTCATTTTTACATACTAATTAGTGTTTATGCATTGAACTTTCTCTAGATTGAACTCCATAATCTTTTTATACCCAAAAAACGTATTATAAAGGATTCAAAACCTTGTTTTGTACAAAGAATAATGAATTCCCTGACTTTTCCGGGTATTGCCATTTTTCCACACCGCTACGACCCTAGATTAGGCCACTTCCAATCGAAATCAGAAGTCAAAAATAACCCTATGGGAAAATGTATTCTGCTCATTTTATTAAGAATGATTATTTTTCATGAAAATTCATTTTCTGAAGGTGAAAGAACTTTCACGAGAATTGGTACAAGGTCAATTTCGAAGGTCATTTAGGTGTCAAAAAAACGCATTTTAGAAAAAAATAATTTAAACAAATTTCACATTTTTTCATGGAGAATAGAAACCTGTAATAAAAAATATACTATTCTATTTCAAAAAACGGACTTTCAATCCGAAGAGGCTACTAGCGGACAGAACAGAAAATTTAAAACATCTCCAATGTATCGGGCGAGGTCCATTTACTATCAAATGACTTTGAATTTTGCATTTTGCTCAATATTGTAAATTTTGGAAACGTGGTTTCATTGCCTCGAGGGCTTAATTCCAAGAAACTTGGTCAGTTTTCTTTTTGTTGCTAATGTTCATTTGCAAGATCAGCGACAATATAAAGTACATCTACATTAAAAAATAATCACCTTCTTCCTTTCCATATCCAATTTAAATTCCCCTATATGGTATTAGGCTCTGACGAGTGATGTGTCCTTGATGTATGGAACTGAAATATATATATTTGCGTGAATTTATTTATCCAAATACAGAAATTGATTGAGCACTACAAATATTATAATTGTTTCTACTACTACCCATTAAAATAAAAAACTACTACGTATGAATGTGTCAGATACATAACCAATCAGTCACAGAATTCAGACTGGGGCGGTATGGATTCATCATTTCACACCTTACTTACACCCCGTACGATATTTGTCGAGATTCCCAAGAAGTGTCACTTCCTTGGAATTAGCCACATTCTATACTCAAAGTAGAATCATATTGCCAATAATTAAAACAGTTAATAGTTAATTAATAATGATCCCAGCTATGCAAGACTTATTTAACTAATGGCATATGGCAAGCAAGTGACATACGACTTGCTAAGTCACACGTATCAAGGGGGTAGTAGATCAACTCTTAACAGAGAGGCTTAGAATCATTTTGCCACAGTATAATTAAATGCGCCTTTAAATCACAATTTTGGTCAACTTGCCTGAATTTTTGATACAATTTAGTCTGAAGTATACATATAACGATGTTTTTTTTTTTTCAACCTCTAGCTAGGGGTAAAAAAAGATAAAAATTAAGGGTTTCTCAAGATAACTCAAAAGGGGTAAAAGCTGGAAAAAAAAATCTTATAAAAGTTGTAGAGCATTAAATTCTACATAAAAATGACTTGACTTTTTCTTGTAAAAATTAATTAAATTAATAAAAACATTAATTGGATGCATTAGGTGTGATAATGAGTATTTAAGTTCACTTTATTAAATTACCGAAATCTGCAGTAAAAAATGTTTATATTAAGCAGATACCATTTCAAAATTTTATACCACAGAGGTTTGTGAATCATCAAAATGGAATTGGGAATATTTTGTCTATTAAAAAAATTATTTACTTACAATTTATAAAACTGACCATCTCAAATTATTTTCTTGTATTTCATCTTTAGATACCTGAAAAAGGAAGGTTAAAAAATTAATAAAAAAATTGACTACAAACACTGAAAAATATTATTCGATTTAACATCAGCACCTAACCAATCTTTCACAAAAATCAGACTGGGGCGGTAATCAAAATCATCATTTAAAAACAAACAATCTTTTTCGGTTCAATTAAACGACTTCAAGTTGCAAAAAATAATTTATGATAAATATATCGACATATTTATAAAAATGAAACGTTAATTAAAAAAAGGAAACTAAGGAAAAATATACCAAGTAAGTTTCATTAAAAGTAAACAGAAAATATGTTTCAAGTTAACATTTTTCAAGTTAAATTTAATTTTGTAGTTACATTTATAGTTTAAAAGAGTGACAAGTGCTTAAATGATCTAAATATAAAACTTACCTCATGGAGTGGAGGCCAAGCCAAGAATCAGTCTCAAGGTGAATATCTGTAACAAATTTTAATTTATATTCACTGAAAACTTAATAAATATAAAATAATTCTAGTTAATTAAATTTCAGAATCCTTTTGGCAACAAACAGCGTAAATAATTAATAAATTTACTTCTATTTAAATTGAATCATCATATTAGGATCATAGTAAAATGGGAAACAAAAAAGGATAAATCTACTGTAAATTAGTTACCTTATTCACAGCTAGGCAGTGCTGCATGTATTTTTCAGGCCTACCTATCAGAAAGACAAATTATTATCTTGGTAATTTTCCATATTCATTTTAATTTTTCAACTCACCATTTTCAAGTGCAAAAATTTGTGACCAAATCATCAGCTCCTTTAACGATTTCTGTGCTGACCGAGTCATGCCTTGCCTCTTAATTAAGATATTTAACACACGTTCTCTATTTTTTCAATCTTATTTTTCTTTGTAAAAATATTTTTTTTCCTCGATAAACTCATCTTTCAAAACAATGTAACATAAATTTTTCTAAAATTCAAAACTTACAAAATATTCTTACCAATTAATGTTCCAAAAGTGATTGTAAACGAACATACCACATTCTTGTCCTGAATTTTGTATGAAAACAAATGACAGTATTTTAAAAAAACTAGTGTATTGAACTCAGATTTTTTTAAACAATTTTACTTTTTGTGTAAAAATGAAAATCGTGGCAAGATAAAAAAATCGATATTTATTATACACAAAATGCATAAACATAAGCTGCTTATAATTAATCAGTACCGTTAAATAAATAATATCAACTAAGAAAGCGGCAGCCCCAACAATGCAGGAACACCAAATACTTTGTTTCCCGATTAACTATCGCAATAAAAACTCACTAATTCTTGTTGGAGAATTTACTTGTCACTGTCAAAAGAATGGAATAAATGTACAGAAGTTGCTCCGGTGTCAACAAAAAAACAACATGAATATATTACATAAATGTTTTACAAGTTTGCTTGTTCCTGGGTGGACCGAATTTAACCCCAATGTGGAAATTTAATTATGTAAAGTTTTATAAAATCATATTTATATATAATATGTACGGAAATAAATTTTTAAATTATAATATAACCTAATCACACCATTTTTTTTTTTACAATTTATCCAGATATTGAGACAGGTCTGGGAGCCCTTCTTTCAGCCCTTTCCTTTTACGTGTTTCCTGTAATGAGAAAAACCTCCGATAAATTTTCCACTTTTATCGCAACATCCAATATAAAAACTAAATTTGTTCATATTTTTGTTTCAAAGTTACTTTTCTTTTCTTATGTAAAAATACCTTATTCTTATATGCTTCGCATCAAGATTAACTAACGCACCACTACAAATTGTCCCCAAATTCTATGACAATTTTCTCATGAGAGGCTAATCTGATTTTGATACTTTTTTATAATTATAGATTTATTCTTCAGCAATGACATCACACCAATGAGGGGGCAACTTGGAAAAAGTAAAAAATACGGGTCCCCTAAATTTGTGTTATGAATCTATGACCAAATTTTGTTGCATTAATTTCGGGACACCCTGTCTATCTACTGAAAATACTTAAAATTTATCTGACAACCCTGATATGTTCACTGAAACAACAATGAAATCTGTAAATACGAAAGTGAATGAGAATCTCAAACTTGATGCAAACAAGTCACACTTGCAAATATTAACATCAATATTTAAAAGCCTAGACAAACTTTTTTCTCATTTTTCGACAGAAAACACCTACAGAATTTTCTTGGTGGAATACTACAACACCCTGTACATTACACGATAATCTCACATTATATAATATAATAGCTTGGTAGAAAAAGGGCCAATGTCCAAAAATTAGATGTAACAGCCAATGAGTCTCCTGGACTACCCATGTTACATATTTGCATCACAAAAAGGGCCAATGTCAACAAGTATTATAAGCCTTAATTATTTAAATTTTAAAATGGCCTAAGTCCATCTTAGTTTAATAGAAAAAGGGCCAATATATGGACTTTGGTCCTTGAAATACTTTTAAAACGTTTGACAAACGACCAATGTCCACTGCAATGGACATTGGCCCTTTTTCTACTAAGCCCCAGATATAACCACCAATATCCACCTACCTGCACTACGGTGAAAGGTCTGGTACTGGGTTCTAGTGGGTCACCAGGCAACACTTGCCAATGATCGAATACGCACTGAGGGAAGGCCTGTCCTCCAGTGTTGGAACGTAAGTCGGCAGTGAAACCGAACGATTCATTTACAGGCAGGTAAGCCTTAACGACGAACATGGGTGTGCCGGCTACTTGCATTTCTTCAAATACGTGACCACGTCTTCTATTCAACACACCGTAGATTCCACCAACGGCGACCTCAGGGCACTGTTATGGAAAAATCACATTGATCAAAATGAAATTTAAAAAAAAATAGTTAATTTAAATTGTGAATAAGTGAAAAATTAGGGAAATCGCTAAACAGGTATTTAGCGATTTTCCTAATTTAGGCCAGGAAATATAGAGTTGGACAGACTTTTTGTTTAGGCAAGCTGAATTTATCACTATAGATGCTAAATATTATGTACAATAACATATTAGTTTCCACAGTCAAAAAAAATGGGGGGCAAGATTGTTTACAGGGCGGTTAATTGTATAATTTTTACGTAAAAACACGTTTTCGCTTATAACTTTTTTCCGTTCATTTCCACGAGAAAACAGTAAAGTACTTTATATTTCATCTTCAAAAGACCTACAAAACTAGCCCTAGAGCGTCAAAAAATATTGATTAGATCAAAAGTTACAAACAGAAGAAATTTATTTATTACTTTTGAATTAAACATTTATAAAATGCATTATTATTACCAGAACGTTTTGGCATCGCATCCTCTCATTCCTTATCACTGTCTAATAACTCACACAAAATTTGGAATTGGTAAGTTGAATAGTTCACAAGTTATGGCCTTATAAACAAATTAACTAATTATTAGTCTGGACGATCCCGAGCATCTTTCACGATCGCACTGATTTTTTTCATGGTAGATTTCATAATAATACATTGAAATCTATCATTTTTTTTTTAATTTTAAATTTACAACCTGGAATTTTTTTTAATTTTTTAACCTTAGTTGCAAAATGAAATGTACGACGCACAAGCGTGATATAGTTGTATATTATTATATATTCGGAAAGCTTATGAAGAGCTTTAAGTTAAAAAAAAAAATCGTCAAGATTCGTTTAAAAAACAACGGAGTTGCAGACTGTTTTACAGTAAAAAAAAAATTCAATAATTATCAAAAAATTAATATTGTTTGTCCCCCTATTCAGACCAAGAATTTGCCTTCAAGATCGAAACTAAAAGACAAAATAATCTTCCATCTGCTGCGAATGCTACCCACATGGAGAGAACGGGCAGCACTGTCTAATAGATGGATATTTTATGAATTTTACTCTTAAAAAATTTCAAACAAGCACAAATTAAATTATCTGGTTGCAAATTGTAGAAACAATGAAATGATTTCTGATTTTTTCCACTCACCTGAATCTCGCACTGGTACACGGGCTCCATAAGCCTTGGAGAGGCAGTGAGCAGACAAGCGTACAGACAACGACGAGTAGTTGGAATGATCTGACCGCCACCACGATGGATAGCATCAGCATGGAGAGTGACATCATAGATGTTGAAACGGACACCACGCAAGTTCTCCTCGGACAACACACCCTCCTTGGTGGCCCATTGGAAGCCGGCCACCACAGAGTCCTTGATTTCATTAAGGTACTGCACTCCCTTGGTACAGTCCACCAGGATGTTGGGCCCTGTGCCGTCAGGTCCGAAGCACCAGATCTTACGAGCCTCGGTGACGTCATAGTCATATTTCTCAGACAAGTAACGGGCACGGGATTTGAAATCATCCCTAGGGTTGACATTGCCACCATCGATATCTTCAGCGAGTCCGTCTGGCATGGGTTGTGCCTTCATGAACAACCTGTTGTGCTTGTTGGGGGATTTGGACAGACACATCTGGTTGGATTCCTCGCTAACGGTTTCACGGTAAGATACTACGGGATCGGATTTCCTGATGGGTATGCAAGCGTGGTCCTCTTCCAAGTCCTTCAAACAGATTTCCAAGTGCAATTCTCCAGCACCTGCAATGATGTGTTCACCACTCTCTTCTATGATACACTGTACCATAGGATCTGACTTGGCTAAACGTTTCAAACCTAGAAACAACATTTTACAATTAGATCCCCAATTTCAATTTACAATAATAATTACTAATTTTCTATTAAAACAAAATTCATTATAAATATTCAGTTCAACTTGTTTTTTTTTTCAACTTCAGAATATACATATTTAAAAAAAATACTTTTTGAGGTAAGGTGTTAATTTTTTTAGTTTCTAGAAACACAATGTTCCAACACTGAAATTTTGCAGAATTTTTTTTTGAGTAAAGGGATATTTTTATATTCATTTTTAGCTTTAGAATAAAAAAGTGCTCGAGTTTTTCTATAAATCTTGACCGTTAATCAGCCATTTTATTTTTAAATATTAATAAATGCATTTAATAAAAATTATAGGGCGAGCCAACACTTCAAATAGCAGACACTGCAACTTAAACAATACGTAGATTTCAAGGTCTCTTATCGTCTGTATTATATTATATTTTATATATAATTGTGTGTAACATATGATATGTTTGTTGTTAATCAGCTAGAACTAATCCCAAGCGTAGAGTTAGACCAGTGCATTTTGATAACTTGTTTGTTAACCCTTTCACTGCTCTAGACGTATTTATTCGCTAAAAATTTATAGGGCTCAAACTGCACCAGACGAATTAATTGTCTTGAATAGTTAAATTGGATCAGGCTGCTCAAACCGTATATATTCGTAACCATGCGCATTAGCGACTCGGTTGTTGTAACTGGTATAGGGAATTTTTGTAGGTGGAGCTTATAGCGATTGTGGCAATTATTTTTATGGAAGGAGGTACTGGTAGTAAATGCCAAGATTGTTCATCTCTTTTTCAGTTTCTGCTTTATAATAAAATATTATTAATTAAACTATTACTATTATTTTAAAACGTTTAAACATATAATTTAATGTAACACAACATAATGTAAAAATATAAGTAGTCTAACTGCTCCAGACGAATATATTCGCACACGGTAAACTTTCGCGCACGGCGCGGTAGCTACATTCAGGCGTATTGCACAACGAAAGGGTTAAAAGAACCTTCCACCTGCATACACCTTTATGCAAAGAATAATAAAAATTGACACAGTTCATAGCTTTAGTCTTCCAAGATATGAAATTACATGTAGTTTCAGATCCTGCCAATTCCACACACTAATGACATTGCAAAAAAAACAGACTATTATACTGATCAAAAGAATGTATTGTATACAGGGTGTTTGGTAAGTCGATGCATTCCTTGTAGAAGGTAGTAGAAATGATTTGTGATATATTTCCTTAATATACCATATTCCGAAAACGCTTAGTTTCTGATCTACAGATCAGAACAGAAAAATGCAGATTTGTAAATATAGGGGAAACAGCTCAGAATATTTTAATGAAATTTTACAGACTTTGACAGTTAACAACGATACACGTTTTACGATAAAAATATTGTTTTCAGTTTCACCAGTGGCGTGCGTGCGCCTTTGTATATTTTTAAAGAAAAAAATTATACAACACTGATTTTTCTTAAAATAAAAATTAGATTAAATTCCTTGTTCAATTTAGAAGAGAAAAGGTATCTCGACTGTTTTTCTTATGACGCACCATTTTCGAGAAAAAAATTAAAATCGATTTTATTACATGGCGTACTCCGGTTTCAATAAATTGAAAATTAGCAGAAATCAGCTCGGCTTTTTTTGTACCAATTTTATTACAACACCCAGATCTAACCTCGTTAGACTTTCATGTATGGGGTAGGATGAAAGAGATGGTTTATACCCGAGAAATACGTACGAGGGAGGAATTAATACAGAGCATTACCGATGCCACTATTACATTTAGGCAGACATTTTCGCCTAGGGTAACCCGGACAGAAATAAGAAGGCACGCACGTGCGCACATTAGAAGAAAGAGACTTCATTTTGAGCAAGATCTCAAGTAATTAGTAATTAGAATAAGGTAATAACATAATAATTATATTAGTAATTTTTTTCACTTCCTAACGAGCTTTGTACTCATTTAATAATAAAGATTAGTTAAACGATTATGCCATGCAATAGATCGATTTTAATTTTTTTACTCGAAAACGGTGCGTCATAAGATATCTTTTCTCTTCCAAATTGAACAGGGAATTAAAAAATAATTTTTATTTTAAGAAAAATCAGTGCGCATAATTTTTTTTTTAAATATCCAGCGTGCCTGTGCGCACGCCACTGGCGAAACTGAAAACAATATTTTCATCGTAAAACGTGTATTGTTGTCAACTGTCAAAATCTGTAAAATTTCATTAAAATATTGAGCTGTTCTGCTATATTTATAAATTATATAGACCAAACAGAGGACGGAGTAGTCAACATGAGCCTTCCAGGAAAAGTAAAATAGTTGTGATGTCAGAGAAGAGTCATAGGTAACTCCTAAATCATTGATGGATTCATGGCAAAATCAATATGGTGCCTATAGACAACATTGCTTCTGCGATCAAAAAAGATTTGGAAAGATATTCAGAAGGATGAATCCCTTTTCTGCCACACCAATTCGATAGATTACTCATGTAATGTCAAATTTTACCAAAATTGGAAGTATCAATTACAAGCGAGAATAATGTCCAAAACTTCAGAGGAACAAAATACTCTCAAAGTTTATTTTAAATGTAGTAAGTAAATTTATTAGATATTTTCAATAGATATATTTCAATTTACGAAGAAAACTCTAAAACACTTTTTTGTAAAATAAGCATATTTGGAAAAATACGTCATTTCTGTATTTTGATACTGGATTTTTAAGATTTTTTTACCACTCTGTAACACCCGTAAGGCACTGATGAAATACAATGTATAACTTTGAGTGAGAGGGTGATATTTATACAAAGGCTTTCTTTGACTTTAGAAACATGTATCAATAGTTTATTTGTTCAAATTCAGTCATAAAAACTTTTTTTTCCAACCTTTTTTTTAGTAATTTTTTAACCCTGCCACTGGACAAGCTAGTGTAACCTTAAATAATGGCGCACTTAGTCGAACCACATGCACAATGTTCTTTGACGCGAGTTATTTTCGTTGAGTGGGTGGTCACCACACAAACAGTACTTAACAAGTAACCTAGCAAAAAATTCAAGCGGTAATCAATAATGACAAATGAAATACAAACAAATAAGTAGTCCGTTTACTCGCATGACTTTTATAGCACTACTCTGAATTTGTTCCCATCTAATACCGTCCAAACCTCACATAATCTCTTAATATGTAACCTGCCACTTTTAACTATGTGGAACTCAGGATATAGAGTTCGTTTGGAATTTAACAACAAATTGTTTTCTGTTTAAATATAACTTCAAATTCACAGTTAGATGTACCGTCTTCAAATACGAAACAACTGACCTCCTTCACTTCGTCATCGTTGACCTAGAGTTCTATTCTTGACAGTGAGAGAATAGAATGCTCCCTGGGGAACGTTCCCTCATTTCACAAAATTTATACTGCATTCTTAACACAAAAGGATCGAGTTATGAAAGTGAAGAACGAGGTACAATGTTGTCAAATGTACCAACCAATCAGAAAGCAGTAAAGAGGCGGTACAATGAAAACTAGTGATGAGCTAGTCATGAAATAAGTGCTACTTTATTTAGACTTAAGAGTTATTGTTATTTGTTTGTCAGTGTCAGGTGCAAACGAAAAAGGAAATTAATAAAAAACCGAATCAAAATCCAGTAAGTTCTAAACAAAAAGAACTTGTAATTGAATATATTGGAGGTAAAACAATGTACACTGGAAAGTTAACACCTAGCTACACTAGAGAAAAAATGAGGACTAACTGGGAAGAACTTACAAATATTTTGTTGATTATTTCATCCTACCATACTATATCAGGCAAATTCACTTTATTCTATTGTTATTTTAGCCGTGTACAATCCGTCAAGTAAACACAAATTATACGAACGTTTCCTCAAAGTTCTCGAAGGATATCACCACAAAACAGTAACTAGAGATATCACAGACAGATTATGGAACTCGTAATTTGTGAAACATGTCAAAAATTTGAAGATACTACACGTGAAATGGTGACCATTGGCACAAACATGCCGTATCTGAAAGCTGATAGTTTCGGAAATACAGGGTGTTGAAAGTTAAAATTTTAAATCGTTTTTTAAATTATTCTGAAAATATGTAGGTTAGGAAATTCAAAATTTTTGAAACTATATTTTTGTAAGCGACGAATAAGATGCGTGTTGCAATTTCAGCGTTGCTCATAGAGGGCACCACTTACGACCAATTTTACCAAAAATTTAGTTAATAACTTTTTGCCTTGCATGTCTAATATGAAACTTGATTCAAAACCTGAAAGAGCAATCATTTTACCATTAATTTGATTTCGGTATCTCGGTCCGTTTTCGAGAAAAATTGATTTAACGAACACTATGTTTTGATAATACAAGAAATTAAAAGCGAAACAAACCAAGTGTCCCTTCATGTTATTACAACAATTAACAATAAAACAAATGAAATTTGTAATAATGATTTAAAGTAATTTTTCGAAGAATCCACTGTTGACACTTATACAGGGTCGGAAAGTCCCCATGGTTCATCGGCCGTTACGTGAGAGCGATAAAGTAAGTCATAGAAATCCGTGCAATAGAGAAAGATGGCTATAATGAAGGCGTCTAATAGTCACCGCCCATTTCACCCTTCCACAAATAAGAAATGGATCTTATTGTGGGGATTCTATGTGATTAAATTTTCAAGTATCTTAGGGCCTTGGTTTTTGCTGTGCAAAATTTTGAAAATTTGCAAATTTTTTTTTCAAAATCTGGATTGCAAAATTATTATGCAAAATCTATCAAACCGATTTTGATGAAATTTGGTATTATAATTCTACATAACATGAAGTTTCTTGAGCCAAGTATAAAGGTCCTATACCCAATTTAAATACCCCAAAGAAATTCCCTAAAAAGTATTGTTTTTTAACCCCATTTTTGTGATTTTTTTCGATTTTTACCATAATCATGATTCATTCGATTTGTAACTAGTCATGTTTTGTAAAAAATTTAATTACAAACATTTTTTTCCTCTTCCATTTTTGTCCTAAATCAACTCTTGAAAAGATTGATAATTAAATAGGAAGAAAAATATGAAATTTCTCGAATTTTTTTAACATATCGTGCCGCCAAAAGTTAAGGCCACGTTTTATGCACATAGAAAAATTTTAATTTCTAGTGATATTTGAAAGCCAAAAAGCCAAAACAACATGTGATTCATGCACGTCAGAGCTCCACCGCATTTTCTCGGCAAGTGCGTGCATATTTAGATGCAATTTTTCCAAATCGCTGGATTGGCCATGTAAGCATTTTTGCTTGGCCACCCGGACTTCAATCCTCTTGATTTTTCTATTTGGTCTCGAATGAAAGATATAGTTTACAAAGAATCTACTAGCTCGCGTAAAGAGTTGTGGCAAAGTATACAAATCATTGCCAACGAAGTCAGATGCAATCCCAATATGTTGTTTCACTCGTAGATTTCCCAGAAAACGTGTAAAGTGTATCAGTGTGGATTCTTCGAACAATTACTTTAAATCATAATTACGTATTTCATCTGTTTTATTGTTAATTGTTGTAATAACACGAAGAAACACTTGGTTTGTTTCGCTTTTAATTTCTCGTATTATCAGAACATAGTGTTCGTTAAATCAATTTTTCTCGAAAACAGATCGAGATACCGAAATGAAACAAGAATACATAATTAATGGAAAAATGATTACTTTTTACGTTTTGAATCAAGTTTCATGTTAAACATACAGGGTAAAAAGTTATTAACTAAATTTTCGGTAAAATTGGTTGTAAGTGGCGCCCTCTATGAGCAACGCTGAAATTGCAACACGCATCTTATTCGTCGCCTAAAAAAATATAGTTTCGAAAATTTTCAAGTTCCTAACCTACATATTTTCAGAATAATCGCATTTTAATTTAAATTTACGATTTAAAATTTTAACTTTCAACACCCTGTATTTCCGAAACTATCAACTTTCTGATAAGGCATGTTTGCGCCAATTGTCGCCATTTCACGTGTAGTATCTTCAGCTTTCGATTTTCCCATTGTTAATGGATCACCCTGTATATAACAAATTGTGTTCAATCTAGAAGCAGAAGTGTATGACTTGCACCGTAGCATTCCACAACTAGACATTAAGAAAGAGGTCCTGTGGTAGCGTTTAAATGCAAGTAAAACACAATCTTCTTCCATTGCACTGCCAAGAGGGTCACTGTTTCAGCAGTGGCGGTTCCGCAAGGAACTGCCACAACCAAACTGTCCTTTGGCTCTGGTTGTGCTGGAAGGGGAACTACTGGAAATAAGCTAAATGCAAGGGCTTACCTTCTACCAGCTTCGGCAAATCGGCAGGATTCTTGGGTTCCACAGCAACACGTACAACGGGAGATACACTAAACTTCATGACCTTCAGATTGTGGGCGTCCTTGTATGTTGTTATGGTTCCAGTCTTCACCAAGAACTGGTCAACACCTACCAGACCGCAAATGTTACCAGAGGGGACGTCTTCAATAGCTTCCACATAACGACCCATCATGAGGATTGTACGCTGGATGGCCTTCTCGTACAAATCCTCTTTCTTGCCAGGGGTGTAGTTGGGGCCCATGATACGGGCTTTCATGCCGGTGGCTACTTTGCCAGAGAATACACGGCCAAAAGCGTAGAAACGGCCCTTGTCAGAAGTGGGTACCATTTTGGAGATGTACATCATAAGGGGTGCGTGAGGGTCACAATTCTTAATACCTAAGGCGGCCTCGTCATCATGGGGTCCTTCATACAACATTTCCATCCTGTACTTTTGGGCAGTGACAGGGGATGGGAGATGAATGGCTATCATTTGCAGTAAAGCCTCGCCGGCTGGTAGCCAAGTACGCATCACCACTTTCAGTAGCTGTTTGCCATCTTTGTCTTTGTCTTCATGTTTGAGGGTGATGCCGAGTTTGGGAAGAAGTGCCTCGTATTCCTCTTTCCTTAAAATTATAAGGGTTGTGTAAATATACTTTAATACACTAATTTAACATGGTCAGCAAGAAAATTAAATTTTTAATTTTAACCGATTCTTTTTCTCTAGTCTCGATTAGACTTTTTTATTAATAAATAATTAATTATAAATCATTAGAGCAACATTTTTTTTTATTTGTACCACATTTAAATTTCTAATTTGAGACCATCAATATAATAAAAGGTGGTTAACAAAACCAATCATACAGTTTTTACCAAATTTTGTATTATATTAAGAATATTTTATACTATTTGGAAAACTGTTCATTTCAAAGATCCAAGGTGAAAACACTTTTTTGGGCATTTAAGTTATTTTATTACAGAAAACAACAACTCTACTGGCTATATGCCCCAACTAATATTGGATTACACCAGCTATACTATAAACATTAAATACAGCTAGGTCCAACACACCAGACCCATAACTGTTTCGGACTTGTTAGTCTTCATCAGTGCTACAACCAACAAACTGTCCAGCTGCTTTAATTCCTTGAACCCAGAAATCGAGTACATTTAAAAGATGTAACTGAATGCTACATCTAGTTGGCCACTGCTACTAACTACCTAAGACCCCACAAAGAGGGAAAAAAAAGCAGAAAGTGACATTTTGACTACGTTTTCAAAACTCATCAATGTCTTGACACATTTAAACAAAATGGAGGACCAGGACAGCCAAAGAGAATAAGAACAGTAGAAGTTGAAGAAAATGCGCTGAACATGGTAAAGGAAGATCCAGATACTTTTAGAAAAATTGCAAATGCTTTCAATGTCAGTAATGGTACTAGTGTGGAAAATTATAAGGAAGTTGTAATCATACCACGTTCGAATCGTTCAGGCACTTATTTCTGGTGATTTTCCTTCACATATTGCATTTTATCAATGGCTTCTGCAAACAATTAATCTAATCTGTCAACTACTTTCACAGACTCTTTTCACTAATGACTTAAATATCTCAAAAAATAAAATAAGAGATTTATTGTCACAGTAGGTTGAACAAATCCCACATGGTAGACAAAGATAGCAACCAGTATTTCTACCAAGGAAACTTAAAGTGAGCTGTATTTAAATTTTTTGGAACAATTGTAACCTAGACCTCCTAGAGGATATAGCATTGTGAAATGTAATATGGTTTATGCACGATGGTGCACCAACACATTTTAGTGTAATTGCTTGTAAGTTGTCAACAGTAACATGCCAAGATTGTTGGATTGGTCGAGATGGACATCACTTATGGTGTGCTCGATCTCCAGACGTAAATTCCTTGGATTTTTTCTATGGTGCAGCCAGTTTACACTATTGCAGAGAAAAATGAAAAGATTTGAGAAATAGTATAGTTGTTGGAAGCGGCTGTCTAAGTATCAAAATCAAATACATATTCTTAAAATAACTCAAGGGGCGATTCCTTGATTTTTGCCGTATATTTAGTAAACATCCTGTATATTGCTTAGCTTTCATTTCACACCATTTTTTTATCCACATTTATCGAATGAATACTGCAGCTGTAGGATCATGATGTCACTTTTCCTATGATTTTTAAACTTTCAACTTATTTTCCTAGAGATTATCATTATACCCACTAAATATTGTCAATTTAAAGGAAAACTGAAATTTGTGAAAAAAGTTCATTCTTATATTGTCTGAAAGTACATATATATTGTGGTGATTCTTACACAGTTTTTCTTTTTTTTGCCATTGTGAATTAAAAAATAGTAAATATACTGTGCCACAGGATTTATTTACTGTTATAAAAAAAATTCAATTTACAAGTATGGTAAAAATTAGTGATGGGCATAATCGACCAATTTTGATAATCGAGTTATCGGTAATCGAGTACTTCTAATAATCGAGTGATCACTCGAGATACGAGATATTGGTCGTTTTCATCCCAGCGGCGCAGAAATATGTTTGTATTAGTCATATATCACTTATAAGCGTAGCTAAAAAAAAAGAGCTCAAGCACTTCAAAACCTAACCACTTTTTCGTTTTATTCTAAAAAAAAGTTACGCAATCAGTGACTATTTGCAGTATGCACTAACATTTTGGGGTGCAACCGTAGGGTAATAATCACTCGAGTGGTGGGAGTAAACATCTCGAGATATCTCGAGTGATCTCAATAATCGAGTACCACTCGATTTTTCACTCGAAATCTCCCATCACTAA